CCCCCCCCAGAGGCCGCCTCCCCCCTAACCAGGCTGCCTCCCTCCCCGCCACAAGACCCCTCCTCCTCCCCCAGGCTGTCTCCCCCCTACCCAACCCCCCCCACAACAGGCTGCCTTCCCCACAGAAGGCTGCCTCCACCCACACCAGACAGCCTTTCCCCCCATACGAGGCCGCCTCCCCCCATATCATGCTTCCTCCCCCCAAACCAGGCCACCTCCCCTGCACACAAGGCTGCCTCCCCCCACACCACACTGCCTCCCCCCACACAAGGCCACCTCCCCCCCACGAGGCTGCTTCCCCCTAAAAAACGTTCAGGCCTGCTGCTTTCGACCTTCCTGTGAGCGGGAGGTGACCAGTGCGGAGCCTGTCTTCAGTAAGAACAAGCAGTGCAGCGCGGCTGGCGCTATGAGAATCCCAACGCAACTGAGGACGATGGAAAAGCATCTAGAGCCTGACCATTCACAATAAACGGCACATGCTGTAGAAATAAGCAGACCCGTTCCCAGCTCACTCACAGGAACCTTTAAGTCCAACCTTCTGCCCTCCGAGCTTCTTTCCACAATGGACTGCCCCCCAGGCCCCGAAACATGTTTCCAAAATAATAGTTTTTTAAAAGAATCATGCAATAGTTAAGATGTACAATTTCAGGGGCGCCTGGATGTCTCAGCTGGTCAGGCGTCTGACTTGGGCTCAGGTCATGATCTCGGGGTTCATGGGTTCGAGCCCCGCGTCGGGCTCTGTGCTGCCAGCTCAGAATCCTTGGATTCTGTGTCATCTCCCCTTCTGTGACCCTCCCCCGCTTGTGCTGACTCTCTCTCAAAAACAAATATATGTAAAAGAAAGACATACAATTTCATAATTCTACACATACAGCTACATTAATGTACGTTGAAGTATTAAAGTTGACCGTGTGGTTGGTCACGCTCTGTGACAGTATTTACATTAAAGGAAAAGAGGCCAGAGAAAGGCCGGGCGGTGCCTTCCGGCCACTCTGGTTCACTTGTGAAGTGAAGAGCCCTCTGGTCCACATACACAGCCTGTGTGGACAAGGCCCTTCGTCAGAAACGAGGTTTGGCCGCTTTAGAGGTAAGACAAGGGGCTTGGAGTCATGTCCAGACACCATCGCTGTGAACGACAGGGGTGTTCCAGGCGGCGGCTCAACTTTCAGCTCTGTGTTACCCTTCACTTCCACTGTGCAATGGCTCCCCTGCCCTTTGGGGGTGAACATCTGTAACTACTCTCAAGAAGAACTGCTGAATTCTCTCAGGAATGGGGAGGAGGCTGCTGATAGGCAGTCCGTGATTTAAAAGTTTAGAGCAGGGGAGCCGGGGGACGCGTCAGTCGGTTAGGTGTCCGACTTCGGCTCAGGTCATGATCTCAGGGTTCATGGGTTTGAGCCCCATGTCAGCCTCTGCACAGACGGCTCAGAGCCTGGAGCCTGCTTGGGATTCATTCTCTCTCTCTCTCTCTGCCTCTCCCCTGCTCATGCCCTGTCTCTCTCTCTCTCTCTCTCTCAAAAATAAATAAACATTAAAGAAATTAATAAAAACATTTAGAGCGATCTTACCCACGTTTCCCCATACTGTTTCCAGTGCCTGGTACCAAAGCCCTCTTATTTAGCAGCGGTTATTCCCGGAGGGACAGGTGCTGTGACTATTTAGCAACCACACAACTTTCGACTGGGAAGTACACGGAGCACTTAAAACCCAATCAAACCCACAGCAGCGCGGGAGACTCGGAGCCCAGCAGAGGGGAGCTGGGCCCCGGCGCCTGCCGTGCTGCCTCACGCACCTGACTTGGGGCGTGACAAGCCGTGAGTCCTCCGTGACACGGTCACAGGAGAGTGGCGGCTTCTCAGAACCCTGAGGAGGGGACGGAGATGCGCAGGGGGCCTCCTGGAGGCGCGCACGCCCTCGTAACTCGGTGGGCAGAGTCCTCACCTTTTGATGAGCTTGATGGATTTGAACGCTTCGTCCATGTCTCCGGCGGTGACAGAGAAGCTGAAGTTAAGCATGGCGTCCTGAGCGGCCCTATCGCAGCCCTCCAGCCCGATGAAGTCTCGCAGTGGTCTCCTGCCCACCACGTGGGGGACGCAGCGGCACCCCGGGTCCCCCCGGTCTTCCCCATCTGCTTCTCCTGGCTGAAGGACAAAGGGCACCGTTTGCAGTCGGGTCAGGGACGTGAACGCGCACACCCGGCCTCTGCTCAAGATGCGCGTCCGCGCGGCTCTCTCCGCAGGTAGGCGTGGAGGTCGGCCGCAGTCCCTGCGAGGGGCCGGGCGAGCCGTGGGCTCTGGTTTCAGGCAGCAGGAAGCACATCTAGCTCGCTGATGCCAACTCCTCAGTCACGGAAGGGCTGTGACAACGTTCCCCCCCGCGCCCAGGTCTGCTCTGTAGCCTCGAGAGGCATCCCACCCCCACACCAGGGACCCCCCCTGGGCACGGGGCCCTAGAACTAAGTCACACTGACAAGATTTCTAGCAGCATTTTCCAAAGCCACAGCCTGGATTAGCTGTGTGCCCTCAACGATGTTTTCCAGAAGAATCATCGACGCTGCATGGCGCTCCCCGGACAGGTGCGTGGCAGCTGGAGATACGACCTGCTGACAGCCTGTGCCCCCTCCTCACTCTGCCCCCTTCCGCCCTGCCTGGTGCCGCCCACCTCCGGCCAGGGACTCACATGTGTCCTGCCTCCCGCAACCCCTGCTCCTCTCTCTGCGCGGGCCCCGGTTCCCCGCCCCTCTCTAAGGGGGTCACAGCCCATGCTCCTTGGACCCCGCTCCCCTGGCTCGTCCCGGTCTCGTGGGACACTGTGCCTGACAACAGGACGTGCTCGCTCACTCAGATGACCATGCGTTTCTTCACCGCAGACCCGTGGTGTGGGGGCTCTCAGCAGGGTGGGACTGGTCTGGGAACCCTAACAGACCTCATCCCTGCCGCGGCTGCTGCTGCTGCTGGGTGACCCCCGGCCCGCTCGGGTCTTGCTCCATCTCAGGGCCTCCCTGACGTTCATCCGCAGTCTCCAACTTAAGGGGGCACTCGAAACACTGGCAGGATTTGTCAGACCCAGACGTGGATGGCAAGACCCTTCCAGGCACAGAGCAGAGCATGAGCAAAGGACCTGGGGCGGCCCCCAGTCTGGGTGGGTGAGCACAGGCTGGGTCATGTCAGGCGGAGGCTGAAAGCTGCAGAGCCGGCACCAAGTGGGAACTTCCAGAAAACTTGTGCACGAACCGCCAGGCAGAGGCCGGACTCCATCAGGTCAGCCACGCCGTGGACCCGGTGCCCCGTTCTGATCAGAACCTGGCCCGCTGTGGTCGCGCCGCGGAAGTCTCACGGAAACAAGAGTGCCTTGGCTCCGCCGCCAGGCGCACTGGCCGCTGCCCTCGTTACGGGGCCTCAGCTCTGTCCCGAGAGGGGGGCACTGAGCTGGGGACCCTGGGTCGTCACACTGTCATCCGCACCCTCGAGGGTGCAGACAGGGAGCCTCCAGACGCTGTATCGATGGCCTTGGATGCGGGTCAGTGGCCCTGGAGGGCAGCTGTTAAAGAAACACTCTTCCCAGCTACTCCCCACTAGCGCTTTGGAGGCCAAGTTAATGAGCCTCCCTAGCTTGCTAATCTAGTTTGTGAACTACTTCCTGCACTACACACTCAGCCATGGAGCGCTCAAGCCACAGTCTGAGCCCGGACAAGGGTTCTGCGGAGCGACACGGGCGTGCGGCTGCCGCACGGGGCAGGGACGCAAGCAGAAGGGGCCACATGCAGTTAGGCAGAGTCTGGGGGCCCAGTGGTAAGGGTACAGCGGCACACGCTGCGTCTCTGGGGCCGGCAGGCGGGGCCGGGAAGGCGAGGGGAACTCGGAAGGCCCACAGGAGGGGAGAAGCCGGAGTCCGGGCTGGGAATGACGGGCAGAATGGGAGAAATGCGGGTAACATTCACTTCCCTTCTAACCTGCGGCCGCGGACAAATGCTGGAGGCTGGCAGAGCAGACATCCCCCCAGGAACCCCGGCTGCCTTCACGGCAAAGCTCCGTGGGCCGGAGAACTGCTCAGCCGGACGGCAGCTGGGCCTCCAGGACCCTGGGGTCTGCGGCGTAAGCACAGTCCCGTTGGGAACCTCCTTGACTTTACCTCCCCAACTCCCACAGATTATCAGCCGCCTCCCGACCCCGGTGCAGCTCCTTCTGACCCCTGGTCCCGTCCCCGTGTTTTAATAGAACCACCTTCGTGCCCCAAAGTGCCTCAAGAATTCGTTCTTGACTGCTGGCTCTCGAACCCTGCTTCAAGCCAAATCAGGGGAATGAGGAGGAAAACTCGATAGGAAGAACCGAAGATGCGCCTCATGTTTTGAGTCAAGGCAAGGAGACCATGCCTGACGAACGCAAAACGAGAATGAAATCCAGAAAAATGCCAGCGTGACGGCGCAGATAGTTTGAGATACGGGAATGAAGAGCCGCTGTGCGGGCAGAGCCGCCGTGCCTCCCGTGACGCTCACGGATCCAGACACCCTGGCGACAAGGGGGCCGAGCCCCAGGGAGACCGACAGCCCTGAGAGCGCGCACGTGCGTGAAAACAATCCCGTTCCGTCAAAAATAACCACACACACGTGTGAGTGAGACATGCCTCCCGAAGAGCCACACGCTGGCCCGGCCCCAGGAGCCACCCCTGCGCCTACGTCGCCGCAGGTCCCTTAGCCGGGGACGCAGACTTGCCATGTCAGTGCTGCCCCATCTTGACGGCAAAGCCAAGTCTTGTAATTTCCCTGACCCGGGGGACCCCTGACCGCTGGGGCTCGGGGCACAACTGACAGCAGGTGCGTGTGTCGAGGGGTGGCCTGTGGCAGCCGGGAGGACCCCTGGGACCCGGGAACGCGGCCCCGCACTCCTGGGGTTCCCACCTTCTTCGTGAAGTAATAGTGAGGCACCTGGAGGCCCAGAAGCGCCTGGTAGGCGGGAGGCCGGGGGAAGCTCTCCTGGAGCAAGAAGCCGTGCTCTTCGGTGATGAAGAAGGACAGAACCAGCACGTCCGCCTGGGGGAGAGGGAGACACGGTGCGTGTGGTCGACAATGTCACCTTCCACGCTGCATCGATTCCCACGTTCACGCCACAGAGAAACAAGGACGGACGTGTGCACACAGCCTCGCGCAGAGGACCCACCTCCCGCTAGACCCTCTCATGGACGGGTTTTCTCGCAGAAAAACCAGTCCTTCCCACCCCAGCCGGTGACGGCACCGCAGAACTCTGGTGTTTCGGTTTTCCTGTTCAGCGGCTGGGCTCTCACTCAGTCAGCAACTCAGAAAGAGCCTCTCGTCTGCTCTGCTCTCGAGGAAGAGGGCCCAGGGGTCCGGGCAGGGGTGCACAGCCCCGGGGACGGGCGCGGCAGGAGGCCCAGGCCCAGCGTGCCGGGAAGGGCCCTTGGGTGGCGATGGGCGCGCACCCTCACCGCCCGCCTGGGGCGTCTCCCGGACAGCCGTGGACTCGTGGGGACGCTGCCCCCGTGCGCTGCCACTCAGCGTTTCAGGCCCAGGATCGGGGGTGCGTCTCAACGTCGGGGGGCAGGACACCGACTGCTGACATGCGGGGCCCTACGCTCAGCACCCCGGGGATGGTGGGCTTCCTTTGGCAGGGACACAATCCGCCAGCGTCGGCGGGCTGGCTGCCCTTGCGGACTCGCCGGGACCTGCTACAGACCCCTCGTCCCTCCCAGGGAGCACCCGGTGTTTCCACAACACCAGGAAGTGTCAGAGTCCTGGGCGCTACGGTGGGAGGCTGGTGGGGGGAGGCCAGGGCCCAGGACACACGCCCCCTGCGGGCTAGCTCTGCTAACTCCCCGGGTGGCAGGCTCGGTCCCGGGGGGATAGTAACACGCAGCACTTGGCGTAACAAGCAGACTACAGTAGGACAGTCTGAGTGAGGGCAGAGGGGGACCCGCCACCCCGCAAACCCGGGGGCCACGCAGGCCGCGGGTCAAGGTAGCAGTAGGGCGCTGACCTCATTCCAGCTTTCCCACGAGCCACGTCAGGACCGTGGGCTACCCAGCCCCCTGCCCCAAGCAACGCATGCGGCGCAGTCACGGTACCGTGTGGCCCGGGCTGTCCTCGGCGGGGGGCTTCTTGTCCCCGGGCTGCGGCGGCGCCTCCCGCACGGCCTCGCACACGAACAGCCGGGGCTCGCTCTGGTCCCAGAACTGGCTCACGGGAATGAGGCCTCTCAGTGTCTCATCCAAAAAGGCGTGGCTCCTGAAAGAGAAGGCCCGTCCTGAGGTCTGAGAGGCCATTCGGGTCGGTATGAGGCGCCAGGGACGCTCTGCAGACGGCCCGCTCCAGGGCCCCGCGGCCAGCCTGCCGGGGCCACGCTCGGACGCAAGAACGCTGGTCAGAGAGGCCCAGGGCGGCCTGTCGGAGGGCGTGCGAAGCTTGGGTTCCCGAGGCTCCAGGGAGGGCATGAGCCAGGAACGGCGTGGACCCCGCGTCCTGCGGGGCGGACGTGTGCCGAGGGGTGGGCGCGCTGCCCACAGACAAGGTAGGTCTGGAGGTGAAGGGGGGGCTCAGACCTCAGAAGCGGAGGGGAGTCTGCAGGGTGGCTGTGCACTGCTCCTGGGGCCACGAGGGTGTAGCTCGGAGGTGGAGGGTGGGGGGAAAGTGTGAGTCTGAAACACAAATCACGCGAGGAAAACGGGATGAGTCACACACGAGGGGACTGACAGAGGGGGGAGCTGTGAGGTGTCAGAGCAGGCAGCTGGGACAAGACTGCTCTCGGGGACCAAGGCGCAGGTGATGATATGAAATTGTGGTGGACACCTGGGTCCGAGGAAGCAGAGCGAGGCTGGGGAGGAGCGAGGGTGGGCCTGTTCCGGCAGGGCCGCCAGCGGCGACCAGTTCCCACCAGGGGAAAGAAGGTTCTAGAAGAGGGTTTCAGCAGTGGAGGGACAGGGGACTGTAATACAGCAAAAGGAACAGGCGCCGAGCTCTGCTGCCTGGCACGCAGTGTGGGCGCCCGCCCCACGCGTACCCGGGTCCTGGGCAGCGCGCTTTCCAGTCAGATGCGAGCCCTCCGGGGGGGCAGGGAGAGCGTGTCCCTCGCAGCAGCGGGAACTCAAACTCCCTGAAGGTTTATAGGAACTCCGTGAAGAGCAACGATCACTCTTCTAGAAAGACACCACCACCGGGACAGATGCGCTGCGACGCGCTCCCTTCCAGGAGCGGACGGGGCCAAGTTACGGCCACTCTCCCGACGTCCAGGCCATCGTGTGGCCACAGCTGCCTCTGCGCTTCCGGAAGCCTGTTTCTGCTGGATGATCCCAGGTCCCCATCCCACCCGCCAGGCTGTCGGCTTCACTGCTTTCTGCACCGCTAATTGCTGAGGGCCTTCAAGTTGGAGCCTAACTCAGCCACCACCCGCCCGGAAGCTGACCGGTAACTATCACTTTCACTAGGTCTCCAGCGAAATCCCCCTGGAGCACAGCCTCACCTCTTGGTCTCTTGCCCGTTGAAGGACAAGCTCTCCCTCTGATCAATCTGCCCCGTCTTGAAGTCCAGGATAGTCACAGTGTCCATTTCCACGTCGTAGAAGCAGATTTTGGAATCGGGGCTGCCGTCAGCCTAGGGGAAGAGAAACCGGGGCTCACGGAACCACGGGGCCAGCACGCCGTGGGTTTGAGAACAAGCGTCCACGGCCCGCCGGCCACGCCAGCACTCCTGATGTGGACGCCGGCGCACCGTCATCGCACTGCGCCCGCTGTCCTGTGGGTGCTTATAACCTCAGGGGGCTGAGAACCCCTAGAACGCTGTGAAGGTCCGTACGGGCTTGGCTGAGGCGGACGCACCGCAGGGGCACGGACGAGTGGGCCCCACACACCAGCCCCCACACAGCTGAATGAGAACGAGGGAAAGGGGGCTTGGCTGTTGGGGGCAATGAATGCCAACCACTTGGGTGGCTGTTCAAGGCTTTATCCTCACAGACGACAGAATGCTAAATGGGGCCCGAGTACCTCTGAAGGGCAAGATCAATTTGTCACAGTTTTAGAGAATGCCGTACGCTCAACAGCAGCACAACAATCACAAACCAACAAGCCAGAAGCCCGACCACCAATCACAAGCCCGACGACCCAGAAATGTGCTCCTACTCGTCACCAACACCATCAGCGAGAGGAGAAACCGCAACAAACCGGGAGACGTTTCAGCGACGCGGAAGGTGCCCAGCCTCCACCCCTGCGTAGGGGAGCGGCCGACCGCCGCCTGCGCCAGCCCCTCCTTCCCACAGCGCACCCCCTCCCCCCCCAGGGGGCGCCCGCGGGGCCAGGGACAGCTGGTTTTCAGCACAGACTCCCTTGTGACACCTGAACTTCATCATTTTTTTCTTTCATCGCGGACAAGAATTCCCGGTGAGAGGAGAGACGTTTTTGTCCCTTAGTGTCACCGTGCCGTCCCCACCCCTGCCATGCAATCACCCCCAGCAGCAGGGAGATGGTGCCGCGGCCCCGGGCACGTTTGCTCCTGTTCCCCGGGGGCCCTGGCCTGGCCTCCTGCTGCCCGAGGACCCCCATCTCCAGCCAGACTTCCCCCCGGGGCCCAGGGCTGTCTTCACTGGCCCACGTGCTGCCCAGAGGAGGCTCAAAGTCTGCACGGAGACAGGAGGCCCCACCGGCCCCTTCCACCTCCCCGTGGCTGCCCGGGGTAGAGCCGGCCCCCAGCCGTCCGCACCCACACCGGGTGACCCCCAGCCCCCTGAGACAGGACTTCTGCACCCCCCACCCCACTGAGAAGCAACCTGCAGAAGGATGCTACGTGACACTCCTGCCTCGCCCCTGCGCCAAGATTGGCGCCCGGTCCGTGCCCGTCTCGGCCTCCGCCTTCTGCCAGGGACGGCGGACCCTCAGCCAGGCCGTGCTCTGTCAGCTGCTCGCACTCAGGGTGCATCTCCCTGTGCCTCCCCCGCCCCCCCCCCACCCCTCTGGAAGTCCCCCACCCAGCAGGGCCCCGCATCGGACTCCGTCTCTGATAGGGGTTCGTTCCTCCGCAGGGAGGGGCCGCGCTCTCCCATTTACACATCCTCTTGCGTCCGCGGTGCCGGGCGAAACGCCTGGGTCACGGAGGGCAACGGTGACCGGTGGTGAACGAACGGACTCGCGAGCGAGCACTCGTGGGCGACAGGGCCCCTGCGCAGAGCAGGACAGACACGTCTGCGTCCCCTCGGTCACACACTGCCCCCCGCTGTCGTCACGACCCGCCTTCTCTAAGCCGGAGGCTCAGAGGGCCCGGCCCCCCTCGTGTTGAGAGGACGCAGCTGGCTGGGGAAAAGGGACAGAAGAGAGGAGTGGCGCAGAGCCCGCACCCAGAAGGGACTGGCAGCCAGAGGGGGACGCGGCCGGGCACCCACCTTGCTGAGGAGGATGCTGATCCTGCTGCCGCTGGCGTTGCACCTGAGCGAGGCCATCCCCGCTGCGCCCGGGATCAGCGCGGCCAGCGTCCGTTCGCCGCAGTGCACTTTGGCCTCTCTGCAGGGGGACACGGGGTCTCAGGGGAGGCGGGCCCAAGCTGCTCTCCGAGGGAGCAGAAACCTCCCCTCACAGAACAGAACTCGGGGGTCCTCGAGGGCGCGGCCGCTCGCACGCCAGGGCCTGTACGCCACCGCAGGGGCCCAGCTCGGCCAAGGGCGAGCGTCGTCCCTGACAACGACATTCTATTACTTTTAGGCATAAACATAACGGCTCAACGTCTGGGTGAGTTTGTAAAGTTCCCGGGTTTAATGAACAGAACCTGCACTCGGCCGCTCTCCCCCCACTCCTGCGCTCGGCCGCTCTCCCCCCACTCCTGCGCTCGGCCGCTCTCCCCACTCCTGCACTCGGCCGCTCTCCCCCCACTCCTGCGCTCGGCCGCTCTCCCCCGCCCCGCGCTCGGCCGCTCTCCCCCCCTCCTGCGCTCGGCCCCTCTCCCCCCCCCGCGCTCGGCCCCTCTCCCCCCCGCGCTCGGCCCCTCTCCCCCCCGGGCTCGGCCCCTCTCCCCCCCTGCGCTTGGCCGCTCTCCCCGCCCCGCGCTCAACTGCTCTCCCCCCCACCTCCCCGCACTCAGCTGCGCTCCCTGCAGCACGTTTTGGCCTTCGTCCTGCCGGTGGTATGTTAACGTCACTCCACTTTCCAGACACAGTGTTTTTTACAAATTGAAGGTTCGCAGCAATCCTGTGGCCAAAACGTCAGTCCAACACCGTCTGCTCACTTTGGGTATCCATGTCACATTTTCGTAATTCTCGCGTCATCTCAAAGCTTTTTACTGTCGTATGTGTTATGGTGACTTGTGCTTACGGGGGCTGGAAGTTCAGATAATGGCTAGCGTGTTTTGGCAATAGTGCTTTTTTACTTAAAGCACGGACGTTGTTTTTCTGGACATAACGCTGCTGCACCCATAACAGACCATAGTAGGGAACAGACGTGACGTTTACGTGTTCTGAGAAAACAAAAACCTAACCTGACTCTCTTTGTTACAAGCTTCGCTCTATTCTTTGGTCTGAAACTGAACCCACAATTGGACAAGAACCATACCTTCGGGAAAGATCAAAGCTTTTAAAGTGAGCCAGGTCTGTCCCCACAACCAGGAAATTTCCACAGACGTCAAGGAGGCACGGGCTCCCCTCTGCCTCGGAGAACAGTAAGAGCTGTTTCACGGTCCCCTGAGGAAAAGGAAAGAACGAGGCTTGAGGAAAGCAGCCTGTGCTGTAGCGTCTCCCTTGCCATGGAGGGTCACCCGCAGGGAGTCCTGTACGCTAGGTGGGCGCTCGGGTAAGTGTGCGCAAGCACCGAGCAGATTCTAACACCACACAGGGAAGACACGGCGGCCGGCATACCTGGGGCTCACAGCCGCTAAGAACTGTGGAATTTCATGACAAGGGCCACACAGAGGTCTCATCTCACGTGAGCAAAGGGGACTTTCGGTTTCCGCCCAGGGGCGGGGCTGGCTGCCCGGAGGACCACCCACTGGTCACAGGGCTGCAGTGAGGCCTCCGTAACCACCCAGAGGGACTGGGCTGGAGGCCTCCGGGCAGGTAGGGGTGCGGGGAGTGGCACCTGGCGGGGACTCCCCGGAACGCCCTGGGCGCCTCGTCATCTGGCTGCCGCCTCGTGTCCTGTGTCACCTCCTTCCACACGCCGCTGAGCGTGAGTACGGGGTTCCCTGACCTCGGGGCGCCGCTCTAACCAGCTGGAAGGGCCGCAGGAGGAGGAGGCTCCACTCTGTGGCCTGTGGCGGGAGCACGGCTGGGGGCGGTCACACGGGACGAGCCCGTGACCTGGGGGACCCGGTGCTGTCTCTGGGTGGACAGTGTCAGAACTGAGTTGAATTCCGGGCACCCCGTGCATGAGGGCTGTTCCGCGTTTGGTGTTGGGGAGCCCCGCCCCCACCCCCGTGGGCACTGGCTCCCGGGACCTGCCGCAGGCGCCACCTGCGGTCCAACGGCCGCCACCTCCAAGCACTGCCTGGTCCCTCGCTCTGCCGTGGCCGCCTTCCCAGCTGCCCGGCTCTGGTCCTCAGGCTGCATGGCGCCCCCCACCCCCGACATCCTGCTGGCAGCTCCCCCCGCCCTGCCCGCTGCACAGACACGACAGCTATCTTCTAGGGAAAGTAACGCCAAAGTAAAACACGCCAGGATGCGTGTCCCCGTCCCTCCAGGCTTCACCACCCCCGTTGGCTTCGGGACGAGGGCCTCAGTCCAGCCAGCCGGACCTCCTGTGGTAGGGCCCCCTCCCTAAGGAGAGAGAAAAAGAGGAGAGACTTCAAGGTCACCTGGATATGCGCCTAGGTGCCTACATTCCCCATGGCCTTGTAAACTGAGACAACTTAATCAGACTGCACGTTTATGTGTTACGACGCACGGGAAACAAAGAAATGGGAAATAGATAAAACAACTATGCCATGTGATGTGGGCCGCTCAGCTTTTTGGGTACGAACCCAACTGAGCGGTGCCGCAGGAATAAAGTCGCTTCCTGGAAAGCAAAGCCTCGGTGTCACGACTCTGTGTGCGAGTCCTGCGGCACTCCGGCCTCGCCTCCCCGCTTCTGCCTCACGGTCGGCACCACCAGCCCCTTCTCCGGAAGCTCCAGCCTGTCACCAAGGTGCTCTCACCGCCCCGAACGGCGTAAAGCCCTGGGGGCCAGCGGGGCGCCGCACTCCAGCCCAGAAAGGGGTCCCGCCTGAGAACAGGCGGTGCGAGGCAGCCCGGCGTCGCCTGGAAGGAGCGGTGACCGCCGCGGGGTGCACGTGTCCGTCCTCAGGGGCGAGGAGCAGTCTGGAGAGCCGCCTGTGGGCTTCCCCAACCCGGGAGCCTTGCTGCGCGCCCAAGACCAGTGAGTGCAGGCGCACGTTCCTGTAGCTACAAACTCAGCAACACGTAGCTCCAGCCCATCTGTCGCGGGAGCCCCCCAGGCAGCCAGCGGGCTCCTCAGTCACCTCCATTTCACAGATCTCTCGCCCTGTCCCGCAGGCCATTCTCCCGTTCCCAGTACGCCTTTCGCCGTCTCCCAGCGTGGTGACCTCCCAGTGAAAGTCAGTACGGTGAAACCACCGTTGAGATGAACCAGGAAGGCCACCGGGGGCGCCCGCAGCCCTACCTCTCCCGGTCAGTCGCAGACTGAAGCAGCACCGTACAGGTGGGCGCTACGTTGCACCACGGAGGAAGGAGGGCTTTCTCCTGCCTGGGCGACGGCCCAGCCGAGAAGCCGCCATGCTCGGAAGTCGCAGCTCCTGCCAAAGGACTTCTGGTTTCCCAGAGCCCTCCTGACCTCAGGGGCTGCCCGGGGTTTTGCTGCAGCTTGCTGGTCCCGAGTTGCAATTCTCTGCCACTCCGGGATGAGCCCACTTTTGTGGATAAAATAACTGGCAGTTTTATCTTTAAGGTTAACAGTACTTGTGGGTCAGACGTGTGACGGAGAGAAGACTCCCAGTGACTCCAGGCCGGTGAGCCAACAGGCGCCCGTGCCCACGGAGCCAACCGGGCTCGCTGCTGTGTCTCACCCACCGGCGGTGCTCCTGGATTCTGAGCCCTGCTCTGTGTTTTGAGCTCTCTGGGCTAACTTGAGATGTGTTTTTAAGGCTTTGTCTTTTTTGTGAGTTTTTGTTTGGCTTTTGGTCCAACTTCTTTTTACAACTGGTTAGGATTTTTTTTTTTTCTAGAGAAAAACTTGCAAGACACAGGATCCCAGCCACCAAAACACTCTTGAGATCATCCCATGCCCCTCATTTTGGGTCCTGACTGGATTCATGTTTAAAAAGTATGGCCCCTCCTCATGGGCCTTTCTAACCAAACAGACGGACTTAATGAAAAATAACTTGTAACTTCCCCAAATTGTTTGGCTCAAAATTAAATCACAAAGCTGCTACTTGGAAAAAAAAAAAAAACACCTCGAGGGGCGCCTGGGTGGCTCATCAGTTAAGCATCCGACTTCGGCTCAGGTCATGATCTCACGGTTCGCGGGTTCAAGCCTCACGTTGGGCTCTGTGCTGACAGCTCGGAACCTGGAGCCTACTTCAGATTCTGTGTCTCCCTCTCTCTCTGACCCTCCCCTGCTCACGCAATAAAAACATAAAATATTTAAAAACAACAACACATCGAAACACAAGACTTTGAGGGACGTTTTCCAGGATTCTCAGTTTGCCTCTCTACAAAAATACTGTTTCTGAGTGAACTGAGGCCCTTTCTCTCCCTCTGCACCTGCCCCCACTTCTCTACAGCCCTGCACCCTCACTCCGGCCCTTTGGTCACATTCCCTTTTCCTTGGAATCTCCCTCCACTCCTGAACTATTCAAACCTGCCCCGTTAAGGTTAAGCCTTCCTGGGGTGCCTGAGTGGCTCAGTCAAGTGGGCATCCAACCTTGGCTCAGGTCACAATCTCGCCATTCCCGAGTTCTGGAGCCGCGTCGGGCTCTGTGCTGACAGCTCGGGGCCTGGCACTTATTTTGGATTCTGTCTCTCCCTCTTTCTCTCCTTCAAAAATAAATAAACATTAAAAAAAATTTAAAAAAGAAAAATCCCTAACACTTTGCAAGGTGCTAGAACACTCACTGGAAATCACTGAGTGATTACAGTAGCTTTTCCCAAGCAAGTGGATTGGAATAAAATTCAGACTCCTAAAAACAAAAACAAAAAGGGGCTGATGAACCTGTTTGTGACTATTACAATGGACTTCAGATTGTTTTCAAAGGAAATTCTGGTCTTCTTTCAAACAATGTTTTAAATGTTTAGTTATTTTGAGAGAGAGAGAGAGAGAGAGAGAAAGAGAGAGAGAGAGGAGAGAGGAATCCCAGGAGGGTTCCATGCTGTTAGCACAGAGCCTGATGTGGCTTGAACTCATGAAACCACGAGCTCATGACATGAGCCAAGATCAAGAGTCAGACGCTTGACTGACCGAACCAACCAGGTGCCCCTCTGGTCTTCTTTTCGGTGTTGAGCCCCCGGATTGCATTTAACTCTTTACTGAACAGACTGGGATGGGAATCCGTGTCCCTCCACGTGTAGTTAATCAGGCAAACCAGCCAGCTTGTGTCCCAGATGAGCAGCCTAGAAGAAAAACGGCTAAAATTCTTAATTTTCAACTCTGCCAAATGAAGGCCGGTGAACAAAACCAGATACCCCTGCCTTCTGGCCAGGACCCTGGAAAGGCCGTGGCGACGTAATGACGCGCACCCGGCACCCCACCCCAGCCTGGGCGGTGCCCCAGCTGCCCGTAATGGGGCCCCTTCCGGTCCTCCCTCTTAACCGGCTCAAACTCCTCTCCAAATTGGGACTGACCCTCTGTCCTTACTGACACGGAGCCGCGTTCTTGTTCAACCTCCCTGCTGTAAAGCTGCCCCGGCCTCGGAATTCGTTACCGGCTCAAACAGCGGGTGGCCCCGCCGGCTCCCTGGCCCTCGCCCCCTTCCCTCCCGTCCGGGCCGTTGGAGGGACACACGCCCCTCCTCCTACCACCTCCGACTGCTCATCTGCTGGGTCAAGACTTCTCAGAAGAGCATCAGGCTAGAATTTCTCCCAAAAGGGGGAAATAATTGCCAATTTGATGACAGTACTCAAAACAGCCAGCGTGAAGAAATAAACGACCCTTCAGGGTCTTTTATTAGCTCCTTTTCTGACGGCCCCAGCGCCGAGTCTGGGGACACTGGTTCTTTGTCCCTATTGGATGGGCTACCAGCCTCTTTATAAGCAACGACCTTGACTGATACCAGCCGAGTCCATACTGCGCTTCCCACCAAGATTCAGATCCCTCAGAAGCTCTCCCCCGAACAGTGCCCTTCAATGAAGATGTCCTTGAAGGCGGGAGACCCATGGTCGATCACAAGGCCCAGGGCCAGTCCTGCCACATCCCGGTTTACCTGTGAGAGAAGCCAGCGGCTGGGGGGGCAGGTCTGTCGAGGCCCCGGGAGCAAGAGATGGCACCCCGTTGTTTCCAACTCTCCTCCACCGCTAACGTCCATTCCAAGCAAACTTCTCGCCGTATTCGATCTGTGCCGTGCAGTTTTGGTATTCGAATTGATAAGGACAGGCGGCAATGGCCCGGTGTTTCTCGGAGGCCCTTCCTTTTCCCCAACGGTAAAAGCTGATTCGGATGATGCAGTTTTCTGGAGACTCTAGGTTGTTACAATGTGTCGCTTTCCGGGGAACAGCATTCATCTGTTAGCGGTTCT